TGAGTGCCTTCCAACCTGAAGGGCTCATTTTATAGCTCTATATCTGAAAATATTCTGGTGCTCTTCATTATGTTTCAGTATTCAACATTCTGATGTTGACAGTGTTCCACTGCTAGTCACAATGTTTCCAGTGACAAAATATTTAGAAGTAATCTGTTTCTTTTTCCTAGTCTGTCTTAGTATGGAAGTTCAGCTGAAACCTATTCACCATGGGTTTACCCGGTTGGTATTTAAAACACCGGTGGCATAACTTCCAGAATCATGGAAATACTCAAATCACCAAAGAAAAACTGACAGATGAGTTTCACGTAACAGGAGACAATGTTACAAAAACAGGTGGTTAGGCAGTAAGTAAGGATTCCATTGCTGATGTCCGGTGGATCTTGGCTGAAACAGAGGATATTAAAAACATGTTTACCTGTGTTTTATTAATTATGGAAAGACATTCAACTATATTAAGCATAACAAATTATGGATAACATTATGAATAATGGGAATTCTAGAACATTTAATTATGTTTATGAGTAACCTGTATATAGAGCAAGAGGCAGGTGTTTAAAGCAGATAATCTGATAAAATTAACTAAGCAGATAATCTGATAAAATGAACTATATGAGAAAACCACAGCATCAGTATTAAAGGAAGGCTCATTAACAACTGTGATGTGCTGAAGATGCAACCTTGCTTGAGAAAAGTGATGAGAGCTTTATGATGAAAATCGGTAACTACTGCCGTTAGCATTGATTACACTGCAACATAAAGAACTGGACCAATAAGCACATCAGCATGATATTGTTATATGCTATCAAGTCGGTTCAAACTCATAACAACCCTATGCACAACAGAACAAACACTGCCCAGTCCTGATTCATTCTCTAATTGTTTCTGCTACTTTATCAATTCTTCTCATTGAATATCTTATACTTTTTCACTGACTCTCCACTTTACCAAGCATGATGCTCTTCTCCAATGACTGGTCCTTCCTAATAATATGTCCAAAGTACAAGACATTAAAGTCTCATCATCCGTGCTTCTAAGGAGCATTTTGGCTGCACTTCTTTCAAGACAGATTTGTTTGTTCTTCTAGCAGCTCATGCTACTTTCAATACTCGTTACCAACACTATAATTCAATGCACTGGTTCTTCTACAGTCTTCCTTATTCACTGTCCAACTTTCACACATGCTGTTGTTGTTAGGTGCTGTGCTAGTTGGTACCAATTCATAGCAATCTTTTGCACAACAGAATAAAACACTGCCCAGTCCTGCGCCAATCTTGCAATCAATGCTACACTTGAGCCCATTGCTGCTGCCACTGTACCAACCCATCTCATTGGCGGTCTTCCTCTTTTTCGCTAACCCCTCACTTTACCAAGCATGATGTCCTTCTCCAAGGACTGGTCTCTGCTAATATGTCCAAAGTATGAGAGATGAAGTCTAAGTAGCATTCTAGCTACACTTCTTCTAACACAGATTTGCTTGTGTTCTTTTGGCACTCCATGTTGTTGTTGTTAGGTGCCATCGAGTCGGCAGTCCATAGTACTTTTAATATTCTCCAACACTGTAACTCAAATGCATTAGTTCTTCTACAGTCTTCTGTATTCATGAGGAAATTAAAAACACCATGGTTTGATTCAGGCATACCTTAGCCCTCAAAGTAACATCTTTGCTCCTTAAAACCTCACACTTAAATAGTAATCTACATCAAAATTTAATTTGCTATAGGTGCTTGAGTTGACATGTTCTTTATCTTAAACTTCATTAAGAAAATTATTTTACTTTTTATTTTTAACTAAAAAGGCTCATACAAAGTTTTTGGCTATAAGAGGAATCCAAAAATACAAAGTAAAGATAGTCAAATAGGGTCAACTGATTATTTTAGTAGATTATGGTAATCAGTAAGGTTAAAGCAAATTTCCAATAGAACGTACTCAAAGGCTTGCTAGCAATTAACTAATATGTAGAAATACGTGTGAAACATAAACACTTATTACACAGAATTTAGAATTTGACTTCATATGACTGTCAGAAACATTTAATCTCAGTATCTTCATTTGTTTCAAAATCTGGATGACATAAAATCCATCCACTAAATTCCCCAAGATACAAACATATAAATTACATCTTATTCAATAAGACATTACCTTATGCCATTTTTCCAACTGTTTTGCTACAAAGCCCCTTTCATTCAGATAGGAAAATCCTTTGGGAATAGAGAGAAATCTATAAATTAAAACAAACAGTAGTTTAACATTGAGTTCGACAGAAAATGTTTGAACTAAAAGACTTGAAACAAAAAACTTAAGGAGCTGAAAAATTAAGGAATGGCTAAAACTAAAAAATCTACGATAATTTTACAGTAATTTCAATCGCAAGTACAGTTGCACAATATTCACAACATACACAAACACAATTTTAAACTCATAAAAGTATGAATAGAAATACAAATACGAAAGTATTTAAAAAATCAGATTTAAAAAGACAGCATTTCAGTCTAATAAGATGTTCACAGTTCAAAAACAAGCCTATTTCAGAAATTAGTACGGCAAACTCCTTAAGAGTGTTTCCTGTTCAGATCTGAATCAAGTCTTCATGCATATTGCCAGAGAAAGCACAACAGAAAATGTCAATTCAAGAAAAATGTACTGAAAATTACCTCAAAAGAAGCAGCAAACCCTTGTCTCCAAGGTGAGATAAAGCTGGTTTCATCTGAATCAGAGCATGGAGATTGGCCTAAAAGAGATGATTGTTGCACATGATAACAACTGCATAAAGATAGCAAATTCTTCATTTCAAAAATGACTACATAATGAACATCACATTCATACAACTATCAACATTGAACGAAATTCAGAAAAATTCATGTCTAAGGATTTCATTATTTAAAAAAAGGCCTTTACCTTGTCTTCACATGCTTCATCGAGAATATCAAGAGCTTCAGAGGAAATTGTTTTGTTTTTATCATGCAGTTGGGTGACTAGTAACTCAATTCCCCAGTTACTGAAGAACTCAACATTAGCTCTCAATAATACCCTTAAATGTTTTGTTGCATAGAGCCGGCAGGCCTAGAAAGACAAAGGAAAACAGTGAGAACAAAAATAACTTCATCTGGTTATAGCCTACCAAATTTTGTTTGGGACCATTCTGCATTTTAAAAAAGGCAAAAAAATTGAAATTGATAATCTAGCTCCTGTTATGAATATTTTGAACTGACTCCACGGTACACAACAACATATAAAAAATAAGGAGCTCTGGTAGCATAGTGGTTACAAATCAGGCAGTTAACCTCAAGGTCAGCAGTTCAAAACTACCAACTGTTCCACAGGAGAAAGAAGAAGCTTTCTGCTCCATAAAGACTTACAGCCTCGGAAACCCTGTACAGGGTCGCTATGAGTCGAAACCAACTCCATGGCACACAACAACAACAACATATAAAAAATAAAATAAGGCCCTAACTTGCCTGTCTATTTATCTGCTTGTTCACCATTGCACAAATACAAATTCTATCGAGTTCTTTAGCAGAACTAAAATTTTAACGTAACCTCAAAATCCATAGCAAATTCCTAGAATTTTTAATGAATTTTACCTGGTGAAAATCTGTAAACTATTGACTTCACTGGTTATGTGACATTTACTGCTACTGGGAAGGTTATACTCACATCAGTGGCTGCAGTTAGGATTTTAGAAAGGATAACTCTAGCCAATCCATCTCTGCTGTAGTCCAAGCTAGAAACTGTCAGTTTCAGTAAATGATCTTGGTTTTTCAAGGAGCAGAGGTTAAGGAGACTAAAAAGGATGACAGTAATAAATATTATTAGAAATTATCATATTAATTTACTGAGTAAACACGTATTTATTAATTCCTAATATAAACAAAGTTATCTCTAAAAAAATTTAATGACAAGATATCAAAATAAATCTACCAATCATCTGTCAGCTTTTATGTTGCTGGGAAAACATGCTGTTGTTGTTGTTGTTAAGT